CTCTCAAGCTTGTGTTCTCAGAGAAAATGTCTCATGTCTTCTTTCATAGGTGACTTGATTATTCTTTTTATCTTAAAACTGATTTTGAGTACTTCATGGTTAGTCCAATTAATTACATAGGAAAGGGAATTTTACAAAAGTCATTATGTAGAATGAGGCAATTCCAAAAACTAAAAATTTTAGACTCCTTCTATCAGATATGGTCAGACAAGGTCTCTTAATTTTTCAATTGTTTGCCCACAAAAATTTGTCCTTTCTGATCAAGAGGAATTCATTCTACTTCTATTTCTGACATTTTCTATGTTATCCAATAGAAAGGAAATGTGAGCCACATATAAAGCTTTACATATTCTAGTAACCACATTAAAAATGTGAAAAGAAGGAGATGAAATCAATTTTATTAATAAATTTTATTTAACTTAATAGATTCAATACATACACACACCCGCACACACACACACACACACACATATACACACATTTATTTTTCATTTTTCATTTTTTTGTACCAGGAATTGAACCCAGGGATGCTTAACTACCGAGAAACTCCCCGGCCCACTTTTTTTCTCCCATTTTTTATTTTGAGACAGGGTCTCACTAAATTGCTGATGTTGGTTTGAACATGTGATCCTCCTGCCTCAGCCTCCCGAACCACTTGGGATTACAGGGGTGCACCACCATGGCCAGTGCAAAATATAATTTTGGCAGGTAAACACAAAAAGTTGTTTTTGAGATACTTAAACATTGTTTTCATACTATGCTTCTGAAATCTGATATGTATTTTACACTTACAGAACATTTCAATTCAGACTAGACATATTTCCAGCATTCAGTTAGCCTCACATGACTAATAGCAACTCTCTGGTTCGGGCAGGTCTCTAGTGTATAAGAATTCAGCCTCAAGGATGATGATGACCTTTCCTATAAAAGCTTTTATGAGGTTTTGTTATATTATCTTCACTAAGGATAAATCCAGATTTTCTCAGCTGTTTGTGATTGTATGGTTTTACCTAAACAATCTAAGCAGGAATTCATATCTAAATTCCAGCCCAACCTTTGTTCAGTATACCAGGTCTCCCTTCCTTAGTAACATCTAGCAGATACTTAGAAGTTCTATTTAATGTATCCTGAGTACAATTCAATCTAATTTTAACAATATAAATAATAACTCTAAATATGTTCTAGAAAAATAGATCATCACTGTATAAAATTCTATTACAGAACTGAAAACCTCTCAGAAAACTACAACTCAAAATCCAAGACATCTTAGGAAATTAGTCATGAATGTAGGACTAAAATATTTATAGTGCAGTCTCTGGTAAAACATCATTTGTATGTAAGCAACAGGCTCATGGAAGGGAAGGGAGTAAAGCTTGTAAACAAAAATCAATAACCTTGAAAAAAGAACCCTCCAAAGAACTGGAAAATTCCAATTTGCCCAGATTTTATATTTTCATATAAATTGCACATTCTGATTTCAATTAGATATCATAGTCAAGCAAAAATTTAAGTGAAAATCCTGTGTTTACTTTCATTTCTTGTAAAAATGAACATGTTTTAGATATATGCTCCATAGAAGAATCTCCAAACTAATCTGTAGATAATCTAAATTTTATTAGTACTCACAGAAGTTTGCGAGAATAGTTTTCAATTTCTATATGCAAACTGAAATATTTATAGGAATTATCAAATAGACATAAGATGTACTAAAATTGATTTACCAGTATGTTGAGGTATCTATTAGTTCTAGCCACATTAATTATAAAATGGCTTTTTATTGAGATTCTATTAAATGTATAATTTGGAGACAATTTAAGCTTTTCTATTTTTCTGTTCTTACTCCTTCAGTAGGGCTTCATAGTCTTACATACTCCTTAATAGATTTATCCCAAGATATTCTGTACTATTTGTTACTCTTCTGAATGAATTTTTTTTCCTGATAGTTTTAGTGGAGCAGAGGTGTGGTTATTGTGGTTTGTGGAAGTTATTGATTCTGACATGTTCATCTTCTTTGGACTCTCTTCAGCTCTCATCTCACTTCCAATAGTTTTCTGTAGGATTCTCTTGGATATTTTTAGCCTTTTCTTTTTCTTTTTTTTTTTTTTTTGCATTGTAACCTTCAACAAAACACTGAAGTTGAAGCATCTTTTTCATGGTCTTGACTCTAATGGGAATGTTACTAGTGTTTCACCATTAAATATAATATTTACTTAAATACACTTCTGGAAAGTTCCTATGGTGGACACATTCTTAAAAGGGCCTCTCCTCTACTCATAAACATGACTCACACTTTGTATAATGTCTCTCTTTCATATGTTCAAAACTGATATTTGCTTCTAACCAACAAAGTATGGCAAATGTAATAAACTATTTCTCTAATGTTATGTTACATAAGACTTAGTCTTAGCCTACAATAAAAGAAGCTAGCTTTCAAGCTGGCTTTTAAGGAAGAAAAGTTGTGAACTGCCCCTGTAAAGGTCCATGTGACAGGGAACTGCACACAGTCCTTAGGAGGAGGGGGTGGCTTCCAGCCTCCAGCCACTCAAAGGCTGAGACCCTCAGTTTAATAACAGCAAGAACGAGAATTCTGTTAACCTGAATGAGCTTTAAAATGAGCTTTAAAAGCATATTCTTCTCAGTTGGAACCTCCAAATGAAAATATAATCCAACACCTCACAGTCTTTCAAGACCCTTAGTTAAGGGTTAAGCTATTCCTAAACTCCTGATCCATGGAAGTTTTGACATAATGCGTATTTCTTTAAGTTACTAAACTTTCAGTAATTTGCTCCAGTAGCAATAGAAACCATCAAGTTAAGGAAATGTCCTCTTAGTCTTATTCTGTTAAGTTTTTTTGTTTTTGTTTTCGTTTTTGGCATAGTACTGGAGATGGAACTGAGGGCTTCCTACATGTTAGGCAAGCACTCCACTGAGCTATATCCCCCAAGCCCCTTTTTTCTTTTAAGAGCAGGAATAGCTATTGAACTTTTGTCAAATATTTTCCTTATTCTTATTTTACTTTAAGATCAGGTGTCAACAAACTTTTTCTGAAAAAGACTATGCAGTTTGACTTGCATACCATCCGGTCTCTATCAGAACTGTTCAATCCTAGTATTATCAGGCAGAAGCAGCTCTAGAGAATACATAAATGAGTTGGTATTATTGTGTTCTAGTATATATATATGTGTGTGTATATGTGTGTGTATATATATATTTAAGTACTAGGGACGGAACCCAGGGAGCTCTACCCTCAAGCCTTTTTTCTTTTTTCTTTTGAGATAGGGTCTCTCTAAGTTGCCCAGGCCAGTCTCAAACTTGAAGTCCTTCTGCTTTAGCCTCCAGACTAGCTGGGATTACAGGCATGCACTACTGTGCCCTGCTATAATAAACTTTATTTGAAAAAACTAGTAGCTGTCCAGACTTGGCCTGAGGCCTTAGTTTGTTGACCTCTGATTAAGATTTTTGTATTTTTTTTTACTCCTAACCTATTAAAAGAAGTATATTAGTGGCTTTTCTAATATTGAACTATCCTTTTCATTTTCTGGGGTAAATTCTATTTGGAAATGATTTTTAAATGCACAACTGGTGTCAACATGTTAGCATTTTATTTAGGACTTTAGTATTTATATTCACAAATAATATTAGTTTAGTTCCTTTGTTCAATTCAGTGTTGATTTAGCCTCTTAAAGTTGAGTTGGATAGATTTTCTGCTGTTCTTAGACTATAAAAATAATCAATATAACATGTGAATTTTGTGTTCCTGAAAGCCTTAGTAGACATCCTTTTTTGTTATTTTTTTCTCCAAAGTTAATTGTTAATTTTTTATTTATCTTATTTTGTTGGTTTTGGGATTTGGACTATCTTTTATTTTGTTTCTCATTTTGTTCTATTGGAGTTTGTTGGTGTGTTCTTTTTAGACAAACAGATGTTCAATTTTGTGATAGTCACATATGTAGTTTGAGTATTATGTCTTAGGTTCAAAGTTCCATTTATACATATCCATCAGCTTGTTAAATGTGATCATCAAATTCTTTAAATTATTACTTTTTCTTTGGTCTGCTGTATCTACTGACTTTTGAAAGATAAGTAATTTTTTAAATTATTTAATTACTGAGGCTGGGGATGTGGCTCAAGCAGTAGCGCGCTTGCCAGGCATGTGCAGGGCGCTGGGTTCGATCCTCAGCACCACATAAAAATAAAATAAAGATGCTGTATCCACTGAAAACTAAAAAATAAATATTAAAAAATTCTCTCTCTCTCTCTCTCTCTCCCTTTCTCTCTCAATCTTAAAAAAAAAAAGATGTTGTGTCCACCAAAAACAAAAATATTTACAAAATTCTCTCTCTTTCTCTCTAAAAAAAATTATTTAATTACTCTATATACATGTGTTTCAAGAGTTAATATTGTACCAACCAGAAAACTCAAGGAATGACAGAGGTAATCAATCACCTTCTTATATATAAGAATGTAGACACACTGAACAATTATATATATATTGGTGCTATTGAAAAGAAATATTTTTGCCAAGTGTGGTGGTACATTCCTTAATCCCAGTGATGAAACATTGAGGCAGGAAGATTACAAGTTCAAGGAGTCTTAGCATTTAGCAAGATCTCTTTTCAAATTACAAAATAAAAAGGACTGAGCTCAATCTTCGACCCACCCCTACCCCCCCAAAAAAAAAGAAAGAAAGAAAGGAAAGAAAAAAAGAAATGGAAAGGAAAAAAATTTTCAATTAAGGCTATTAAAGTCTTGATTGTTGTTAATGGCAGCTATAGTTCTTCCAATTTACTGGTTGGCCTAAAAATATTTAAGAGTTACTCATCAGTATTACAGTTAAACTGGCACTTAGTTTACTCACTTTATATTGTGTGATTATAGATATTGAAACATGATACATACATATTGTAGATTTAAATTCTCTGGAAGTAACACTTTAATTTAATTATTTATTCTGAACAAAGACAACTACTGAATTTCTTGTAAACATGAAAAATGACTACCTCACACCAGTCTATAGATGCATCGGGATTGTTGCACAGTTTCCTATAAAAGCATTTCACATCTTGAGTCTTCACTTCTGAACCAAAGAGTTCCTGAACCGACGAATAAAACTTGTTATAATCAATGACATCTGCATTGGAAAAAGCACAATTACATTTTCATCAAATTCCAAGGCCTATATTTCACATTTCAACTTTTTATCTATTTCCTAACCTTCCATTTCCTTATTTCAACCTATAAAAACCAAATTTATCTGCATTTTAAAGATCTTGTCTTTGGAAACATAACTAGGCCTTTGGTTAAAATAATACTAAAGTCTGTAGAAAATATCTTGTTTTTGATAAATTGTGCTTTCTCTACAGCCTTTGTTTCAGCTATCTTAGAAATTTGGGGCAGGAACCCCAAAATAAGAAAAAGAATTACTTCTTTCTTATTGTGAAAAGTTTCACCAACTGTAGTCTCTGCTAGAATTAATCTTAAATGAAAGGTAGAGTGTGCAAAGAACTATTATTGGTTGCACACACACACACACACACACACACACAGACTATAAAAATAATCAATATAACTTGTGAATTATGTGTTCCTTAAAGCCTTAGTAGACATCCTTTTTTGTTTGTTATTTTTTGAATCTTCATTTTGAATCTTCATTTTGCCAAATATATTAATTTACTGGGGTTATGTTACCTGCAGCCAAGCTAGGAAAACTGTGTGGATCCCAGCTGTCTGGATTCAGTCACCCACCCATGTAGGAAATAAAGAAGTGATACAGAAAGGAAAAATGAATTTAATGCAGTTTGAGCACCCTGGGGAGAAGCAGTTAGATTATTCCTCCTTCAGTCTTACTAAAAGGAGTAACAATTTATAGAAACAAAAGCCAGGAGATACACATATGTAGATTTAACTAGGCTATTCTAGTTAGAGAATGTGTCACAGCTTCAGCTTCCTTAGTGCCTTCCTGGGTCTGTGGAAACTTTCTCAATTTCCTTCTCGGCTTGAGGAAGTTCAGGATGCTAAAACAATTCCATAGGAGGTCTGTTTCAGTAAGACTCTTGACTCTAAGGTCACCAAAGAGTTAGATGCAAGATTTCTCCAACTGTACACAGAGATCAGATTCTTTTATTTAGTTCACACAACTATATTGAGAATTGTGTGTCAAAACTGAGCTAGACATGTGACTTAGAATGAACACTCAGTAAGCAGGATTCCTGCTCTCAAGGAGCTTATATTCTAGGCAGAGGATCAGAAAATGAAAAAGTGAACAAACAATTCACAGACGGTGACAGGCAAGGCTCATTAATAGAGACAGACATTAAGTTAGCGGTTATCTATTCATAAGGTAGGAAGTAGTATTGCTGGAAAAGGGCATGAGGGAACTTGCTGGGAGATTAGAAATGTTCTTTGTCTTGGTCTGGTTGGTGCTATAGGTACACTGACCAATGTTCAAATTTATGAACCTCCATACTTAAGCTTATAATTGCAGTTTGTGGATTGTTGACTTTATGGGTATGTCAACCTCAGTTGCAAAGTAAAACTAAATGGCATTATAGAATGAGATAAGTTGGAGAAAGCAATCAGTGGGGACCTGTGATAGAATTATATGATGTTGAGGACCTTGGGGAAGGCTTCTTTAAGGAGGAAGATAAGACTATTAAGCTGAGGAAAAGTTAATATCAAGCTAAGAAAAAAGGAGTCAGTCATTTGTAAAGAAGACAAGAATGTTTAGACAAAGGCTGATAAACACAAAGCCCTGAGGCTGGAAAGAACTCTGTGTGTTCTGGGAAGGTGAGTGAGTATAGTTTAGTGGGTACTGGGAAAATGCTATGAGCTAAGACCAGAGACGCAGGAGGGTTAAACTAGGGTCAGAGTTGGTCTTTTATCCTAAGCACTATGGTAGGCTATCACTGGAGAGTTTCACAGAAGGAAAGGATAATCTGACTTAATTTTTGTTTTTTAAATGTTCTCTGGCTAATTTTTGTTTTTTAAATGTCACCTCTGTGAGGAGGTGACACTGAAAGCTGTAAAACCAGCTAGGGGCAATTGCATTGGTCCAGGCTTCAGAGGCTTGGGCCATGATGATACTGCAATTGACTGTACATGTCTCACTGCTATAGAGAGTCTCACTTATACTTCTCTTCTCGACTTAATTATCAATAACATACTCTTTCTCTTTTGCTCTTGAAAGTGTTCCTAGTTGGAGGATAAGTGATATGAGTACCCTAGAGATCCCATTGGACATGGTAAGATATGTTTGGAAGTAGAATTACAAGGACTTGCAATGGAATAAAAGTTGTTGTGGACAAAAGTGGTGAGTAAAGTAAAGGCAGGAGTTGAGAGCACTGATTCTTGTCCAGAGGAGATATTGTGACCACTCCCACCTCCAAACACACCACGCACATACATATATACACAACACACATACACAACACACACATGCACATGCAAAACTGTGCAAAAGCCATTTGGTAATGTCTGGAGACATTTATGATTATCAAAACTAGGGGTGGGTGTGGTACTGGAACTTAGTGAATAGAGTCCAGGGATGCTGCTAAACATCCTACAATGCATAGGACAGCCCAATGCCACCTTCAAGTACATGTATACAGAAAAAAAAAAATTATTTGACCGAAAGTTCAATAGTGCTAAGGTTGAGAAACTTGTTCTAGAGTGACATTCGGGTTTCTGGTTTCAGAACTCAGCAAATGTTGGTACTATTTACCAAACGGGTAACTGGGAAAGGACTATGCTTCTTGGGAAAAATAAAAGATTCCATTTTGGTCATATTAAACTTGAAATTACTCTGAGACACACAAATAGTTATTTAGTTATTTTAAATTCACACTAACTAGGACAACATATGTGTTTCTTTGTAAATGTCATGTAATAAGTTTGATCAGATTTTCCAGTCCTGGGATATTCTGGATTCTATCAGGTCATTGGCAAGATTTAAGAGAAATATTGCTGGGACAAATTACTGCAGTCTACCTAATATCAATTTTGAGATAGACAACTATTCCATTAAAAACATTCTCTCATTCTTAGCTTCTTGCCTATAGTAAACAGTAGGCCTAATTTTCTAATGATTGTTTATGAATTTATTTCAGACAGTATTAGCATCCTGATATGTTACAATTATACTTTTCCTTCTCAATCTTTCAGACCGGTGACTCAGTTACAGTAGTCCTTGGTCACAGTCATTTGTCTAGCAGTAATTACTCTTTATCTAATCTTAAAAAAACTATATAGGGAGGACATATTCAATGCAGGTTTGTGATTACAAGCCTCTCAGTGGATGCAAGGTTAACTTATTTGTGAAGCACACATTTAAGGAGAACCTCCTGGACATCAGACTGTGCTCGCCTTAGGGTTGCAAAACCTTCAAAACACTCATAGGTCAATGGTGGGGGAAAAGGGACAGGAATATATATATAAATTTCAGCAGGCTAAATACATCAGGTAAATTCCTTAAGACAGCAATAAGTGCATTAGCAGTCTGAAGATGCCTTTCCTTAGGGGAAGTTTGGGACTTTTTGCAAAGAAGTGATATTTTATTTGGATCTTAAAAGATGAACAGGACTTTACAGGTATCAAAGAAAAAGAAAGAAAAGGAAAAGGAGGAAAGGAATTGTACTTTGGGGGAATGATGCAGCAAAATCAATGATTAAGAGTATGACATACTTAGCAATGCTAAAAAGTTTATGATAGGGCAGAAGGTGCGGAAAGAAAGTGCCAGGAACAGAGACCAGAAAGGTAAGTTGAGGCATGATTGTTAATGGGCCTGCATGCCAAGTTAACATACCTGAATTTCAGAGGTCAGCTAATAAGCCAGGAATATGGCAGATCTAATTTTGTAAAAGGAAAAGCTTTTTGAAAAGTATAGAGGAAGGAATCACTCTCGTCAAGAAGATTATTAACAGGCTGTTGTAATAACCCAAGAGAAAAATACGATGACCCAGTCAAAGGTTATACCAGATAAACTGGCATGGCAAATGATGTTTACACCATAAGACCCAGTGAGAACACAATAGGCAAAGCTCAAGGAGAAAAAGAAGCACAGAAAAAAATGAAAAGGAGAAAAATCAGAAGAGAGTATTATGACAAAAGATGTAGTGGGAGGGCATTTCTTGAAGCAGAGGCAGCTAACAGTGTCAATGCAGCAAAATGGCTAAGTGGGCTGCAAAGGGGAAAAACAATTTATTGAATTTGGCAACTGTGTTAGGTTCTCAAATACCTTAGTAAGAGCATTTTCAGCAAAGTGATGAGGAAAGCCAGGCTGGAGAAGGTTGACAATGAAGTGGTAATGCTGTAAGGAAATTTAGTGGAAAAGCAAAGGAGAGATATACAATGGTAGCTAAAGGGAAGAGAAAGTCAAGGTCAGGGCACTTGAGTATATTTTTAGATTGAGAGGACAAAGCCAGTGAAAGGAGATTTTTGAGGCTGTTGTAGCAAAGTGACAGCCTTGGAAGGGTGGAGGGAGGACAGGTGCTGCTTTAGGTACTTTGAAAGTGAAAGAAAGGGAATTTGAGAGACTTCATGTCTTGGGGCCATGCTTTCCCCGTATAATATAGGAAACTTGGCTGGGAGGGGCAGAGATCCCATAGAAGATTCAGAAAAGATGGTAAGAATTTGGAAAATCAATTACAGAGAACGAAATAAACTGACTGGGGGAAATTAAGTTTTATTGAGATGTTTAGAAAGCCTGGCCAAGTACAAAACTACCCAAAGTGCATATCTAATAGGACTTACACCACCTAGCTCTAATACTTAAAAGTTGAGTGACTTAGGCAGGTGACTCATCTCTACCTCCTGTCTTTTCAGAAATAAAATGGACATGTTACTAATCTTTGTCTATTCAGATTGCCAAGAAAATCATACTTATTAAAATAACATAAATTATTAAATGCTATTCAAATAATACTGGTTTGGGTTCAAACACCCAAAATGAATATTTTTTACTTACATATGATTATGTAACCTGGCACACATAAGGCAGGCCACATTGTCCCTTTAGCAATTATTTGACCCTTGTTCCTTTTATTTCAATAAGAGCGTTTGTTCTATTGGGTTTTGACTGTGCTATTCAGCCTTACTCTTTATGACTGTCCTTGGGCCCCCCCAAATGCATACTATACTAATCCCCTTGAACAGGGCCATGGCTCTGCATTGGGTTCTCTGCCAGTCATACTCTTGGCAGACCACTGTCCACTACATTCACCTTATCTTAGCATGCTCAAATCATTCCTGCCTAGAGACATGAGGACTGTCCCAGACAATGGAATGATAGTGAAACAGAACATTTTTTATTGCTTATGAAAGTCCTTATGGTATCATGATAGCCTTAGATATAGAAGGATGGCTGCTGTGGTTTAAATACTGTCCCCCAAGGCCCCATGTGTTAAAAACTTGGTCAAGAGCCTGTGGAGTTATTTCGAAGTAATGAAATCTCTAAGAGGTGTGACCTAGTGGGAGGAAGTTAGGTCATTGGGATATGCCTTAAAGGGGATTTTGGGACCACATCCAACTTCCTTTCTCTCTCTTTCTTTACCTACTGGTTGCCTAGAGGCAAACAGCTTCCTCTACTATGTGTTCCCCATATGGTGTGCCCCAAAGCAACAGACCAATTGGCCATGGATTGAAACCTCTGAAACTCTTAGCCAAAAATAAACCTTTCCTCCTTTTATGCTGATCATCTCAGGTATTTTGTTAGAGTGACAGAAAGCTAACACAGTAGTGCATATGGCTTTCCACATGGTCACTATACTCTAACTACTGTGAATCCCAGATCAACCAGTGAGCAATCAAATCGTAGTACCTACAAAAAAACCCGAGATGTCATTTAATCCAATCCTCTAACTTTAAAATTGAGACAATGAAGATTCAGAGAATTGGGAAAAACATCTCCCCAAGTCAAATTAGCTATTTAGAGACAAAGAAAGAACAAGAACTCAGATCTTCAGGACCCACATTTGGTGTCCTTGCTCTTAAGCTACACTGGTTTTCTCTGATGGCTTCAGACACTTCCCAGTTCTTATCAACCTCCCCAACTCTACTTCCCTATAATCACTGTTCTTACCTTCTTTTGGGAAAAACAAGCCTGCTCTTTCACCTTTTTTCTGGAGTGCTGTCTCTTCAACCAATTTTTGAAACCCATTCACGGCTATTCTGAAATTGTTAATCAAAACTGCAGGGTTGAAATGCTTTTTGTCTCTGATATCCATATGGACACAGGGAATCTTTTATTTCTGTAGAGAAATAAAAAGTTATTTTATTTGCCAATGTGAAAAACCTTCCGTTTCCTGAAATGCTGCTCTGCTGTCTCAATTCTTGCTCTAAGTCTCATTCTTTTGATCTCAAAATTCCAGCCTATGGATAGGAGTAAGAGTTACCATAGGATGTTAGTAGGGAGGAAGGCTGGCTTAGGTCTAACGCGTTTCCTACAGGCAAACATTTCTGCAAAACTTCCTGACCTCATAATGTTAGCAGTGTCCTTCAGATGGTCCCCATTGCATCATAATGTCTCTGTAACATTTTGCTTTTTTTCACAAGGAGGATATTGAAATTTGTTTCTCCTACAGGTTTTGTATGTGGGTGTATAACTCTTTAGAGGGAAGATAAATGGGTAAATACCAAGTAAGAAAAGTAGGTGTTACTTTCTCCCTTCTCTTCTCACCTCATACCTTTTGTCTCCCTCATGGTGCTTTGAAGGAAGTTCACGCTCATTTTTTGTAGCTACACTGAATATGGAAGCTTGAACTTCTACAGATGAAAATGTATTTCAGCACCTGTTATTTCTACCTCAAGTGAAGACATTTTTAGAGATCACAGAGAATTTAAAAAATGCCTCTTATTCCTTCATGCATGGACCTTCATTTAAAACAATAAAATGAACTAAGGATAAGGCAGGAATAGCTCCTGTTAGGGAAGTTTTTCGAGATGTCAGTGGAATAAAAGACCTTTCTGTATGCTCCCTTCCCTCTAATTCCAATCTCCAATCCCATTTAGTCCAATTGCTATCGAATCAAATTTTTCAGTCTTCACAATTTTTTATGGGAAGGAGATGTTGTCTGTTTATCAACAACTCATTAGCTTCCTATGGTTTAGGTGAGTTAGATGAGGTTCCTACCCCTTTGGTAGTCCATTTTTTAAAACATCTTGCAAGAACTTGCAGAGATAAAGCAAATGACATTGAGGAACACCTTCAGCTTCAATACTGTTTATTTGACATCCATCTCTAGCTACAATCTATGAGAAAGAAAATCTCTAACATCATATATAAAGAAAAATCTCCTAGCTCTAATTTCACTCTCTATGATCTCTAAAAATGTTATTTCTTTTCTTTCCTTTAAAGCTTTCAAAATACAATGCAGCAACATCTGAAGAGTCACCTTTCCTATGATCCTAATGCATGTATTCTTATAGTCATCCATCTATACATTCAGCTAATATTTACTGAATACCAACATCATGCTAGAGGCACTAGGATATAGCAATGAGCAAGTTAGCTTCTTGAATTTACAATCTAATATTAAAATAAGACAGGTAGACAAATAAACAAGCAAGTTATATGTCAGAAGATGGTGAGTGTTATGAAGAAAGAACAAAGGTATGTATTGGAGCAGGGGAGTTCAGGGAAAGTAATTATTTTTACATTAATAAAAAGACATTTGGGCAGAAATATGAAGGAAGTAAAGGTAGCATGGCACATGGATAGATGGTAGAAGGATGTTCCAGGGAAGAGCAAGAATGATGTTCTGAGATCCACATTTGCTTGACATTTCTGAAGAAAAGCGAAATGAGTTGCTTGTCTAAGATGATATGGGATGGGAGAGAGAGGAAGGGAGATAAGAGCCAGTTTCAGGGTGGTGAGGTGGGCAGATCATAGAGGATTCTATAGTCTATTGTTGTAAAGAATTTTACCCTGAGACATACAGAAGTTGGCAGAATAGTTACATGATCTGAATTCTATTTAAAAAGCATTGCTCTAGTTGCTTTCTATGAATCACAACTAGAAGGGAGAAAGAATAGATAGAAATAGATAAATCCATTAGGTAGCAATTTCAATAATCCAAGTTAAGAGATGACAGAAGCTTCAATTAGTGTGTAGACTATATTTATAGCCTGACTCCATGAACACACTGAAAGTAATTATAATACTTACTAAGCAATTGGAAATTGAAATGCTGATTAGATATTTGATGATATTAAGAAAATGTTGTTCATTATATTAGACATTCTAATTATATTTTATGTTGTTTGTCTTTCTCCATTTGTGCTGTTATAACAAAATGTGTTAGACTGAATAATTTATAAAGATCAGAAATTTATTTCTTATAGTTCTGGAGGCTGGGAAGGAAGCTCAATACCAAAACTCCAGCAAATCCAATATCTGTGAGTGCCCCATTCCTCAGAGGTGGCATCTTCTCTGTTTCCACACATGGTAGAAGGCAGCTTCCTCCAAGCCTCTTTTATAAGGATACTAATCCCATTCATGAGAATGGAGACCTCCTGACCTAGTCATCTCCCAAAGGCAGATCCTCCTAACACCATCACCTTGGTGGTTAGATGTCAACACATGACAGAAATGTTAATATCAAAGCATTGTTATTATTTAATGTTATATTTTAGAGCTACATATGGAAATATTTACAGATAAGCATTGAAGTTAAAGGAGCAGTCACTTGTGCAAAGTACTATTGATCATCCATACATAGTAAGGACCGAAAAGTAACCACTGGAATGTGTCATATATCTTGAGGAATGCTTCATCAGTGGAATCATGGGGGGTGGGCACCGAGATCGTAGGTATAAATGTATACTAAATGCATATTACGGCAAGGCCATTTGGGAACATCTTAGAGGAGTTTGCTAGAGCATTTTTTACAACTATTATGGCCATTTATAAAGATACAGGATGTATCTGTACTTGTATTTTTTCTATTGCAAAGATGATATATTTTAATATTCTTTAAATTTAAAGAATTTAAAGAATATTAAAAGAAATCCATTATGTTCCTCACATTTTTTTTTTTTTTATACTAGAGATTGAACTCAGGGGCACTTTACCATGGAGCTACATCCCTACACCTTTTTATTTATTTATTTATTTATTTTTTCAGACAGGATCTCACTAAGTTGTTTAGGGTCTTGCTAAATTGCTGAGGCTAGCTTAGAACTTGTAATCCTCCTGCCTCAACCTTCCAATATATTGGGATTCTAGGTGGGCGCCACTATGCCTTGCCTCCTGCTCTTACAAAGCTATTAACTTTAGAAAATCAGGCTACACTTTGATACTTTTATAGTTTTAATATAATTATGTACATTATTTAAATTTCAATGTATGTATTATTCTATAAATCTGTCTCTGGGTTTCTAGTAGCTTTTGTTAGCATAGTTATTCCTTTTTCTTTTTCATCTATTTTGTCAAATGTGTTATTTTATCAATTACTTTTTACATGTAAATGACTGTGAAAGGAATTGGTGAAAAATATTTAGAAGCAAGCACATCCTTAGCCATTCAAGAAAAGAAATGGTATTGCCACTGTCAGAGGTAAGTCCCTAGCAAAATAATTGGTGGGAATGGTTTCTCTGAGCTAATTTGGCTTCAGCTTCCATGAGTATTAATGAGAACCATGTGTGGAAGTTGGCAGGTCAGACTGTGATATAAGGTGCATGGCTGGATTCTCAACCTGTCTATCTTTTGGGCCAGGTAGCAGCCTCTGACAGAAATCCTGCCAGGACAATAGGTTGCTTTGTGTTCTCTGCTCCTAATGCATTGTGGCCAAATCCAATTCTCAGGCTACATCAAGGAAGAACTCCTCTGGGATAAAAGGGAAGTTCTCAGATGATTCCTTTGACAGGTCACTGAGAGAGGCAGGAGCTTCAATAGTGCATGGCCATGGCTGACCAGGGATTGCCAAGAACCTGGGCCAGGCAGATTCAAAATAGAAAGACAACACATGAGAGGGACATATCTTGGTAACAACACTCCTCCATGGGTCTATCTCTTGAGTCACAATCCTGAAGCCAGGACTTTAGGTACAGTGGGGCATAGGTGTCCTACAGCCATAACCCTTTACCATCATTTTGTGAATTCCTTTATCCTTGGCTTATTTCCTGTGTCTTTCTTTTCCATGATTTATACCCTAATTTTGTTGGCTCATATCCAGAAATAGCAGGAAGATATGTTTGCAGGAGGAAGGGTTTCGGGAGATTTAACCCAGAGCCCTGTGCTTGCCAAGCAAGTATTCCACCACTGAATTACATCCCAGACCAAGACAAATTTTTTGATATTTGCAGGTCTAAAAATATCCTGATCTTTGCTTGCCTTTGAGGATATTTGTGTATAGAGTTCTAGTTTGGAAATTGTTTTCTTTCAAACTTGTTAAGGTATTATTACACTGTTTTAAGGAGTTCATTCCGACCAGCTTCTGTTGCCAAATTATTCTGATTCCTAATTCTTTATGCATAACTTTTTAATTTTTTTCCTTTAAGAAGCTTACAAATATTGTTTCCTGCTTACCAAACTTTCACTATGATGAATATTAATGGGAAAAATATATATTGTTAATTAATCACAACTTCACTAACCAGTTTCTTTAAGAAATTGAATAGTTACCTCTCCCTAAATCCTTCATCACCTAAACTCTGTTTTTAACAGTGCTATAGATTAGATGTGGACTGATCCCCAAAGGCCCATGTGTTCAAGGCTTGGTCCTCAGTTAGGCACTATCAAGAGGTGGTAGAAACTTTAAGAGATCAGGCCCAGTAGGAGGCCTTGTGGTCATTGGGGAATGCCCCTGAAGGGGACAGAAGGACCCTAGCCCCTTCCACTTAATCGTTTTCACTCCTGGCCATGAGGTGAGTGGTTATGCTAAACCCTGATGTGCTGCTTTGCCACAGGCCCCAAAGCAACAAGGGCAATTGATCATGGACTGAAACCTCCAAAACTGTTGGCCAAAATAAACCTTTTCTCTTATCTCCAGCATTTGTTATAGTGATAGAAAGCTAACTAATAAAAAAAAGCAAGGTTACAAATAAGATTTTGTTTTAAAAATCATTGTATATATTTTGGGGGAATATGGGTAGCTTGCATAGTTTATTCATTAAGGTGATCTTATATCTCACCCATCTGAGGAATTGTATGTATATAGAGACTTTATAGTCAGAACCTGAAGGGCATACTAAATTCTCTTTTTTAAAAAATGTTCAGTAATATTCACAAAATTACATTCCTAAGGCAGAAAAAGGTACAGATATGGTTGGCAAGATTTTCTGCAAAGGCCCTTCTACTTTTTACTAGAGACCAGGGTTAGAGAGGCCAAGGAAGGATGTCTTCCCAGTTTTGGGAAGAAGATAACTTGATTGGGTAAAGGTTAAAGTTTCTTCTCAGCTGACACATTTTTGACATAGAAGGCTAGGGATTATTGAGTACT